TGGTTCGGTGGGTGGGTGGTTGGGTGGGTGGTTGGTTGGTTGGGTGGTTGGCTGGCTGGCTGGCTGGCTGGCTGGCTGGCTGGCTTGCTGGCTGGCCGACTGGCTGGCTGGCTGGCTGATCATTCAGTTTGTCTGTCGGTTGGTCCATGGGTTGGTCCAGTTGTTGGTCCATTGGTTGGTTGATGGGTTGGTTGGTTTGTTGGTCTCGTTTTTGGTTCATGGATTGGTTTGTCAGTTGGTTAGTCCACCACGGTTCATCAGCTCATCAGTCATCCGACCTTCAGTTGACAAACCAACTGACAAACCAATCCATCAGCTGATTAGTCCACTGCGGTCCATCAGCTGATCAGTTGGGTTGTAAGTTGGTGTCGTAGTTTGGTTCATCCGGCCTTACTGACAAACCAACTCACAAACCAATCCACCATGGTCCGCCAGCTAATCAGTAGGTCGGTTGGTTTGGTCAGTTCGTTGTTCGGTCGGTGGTTGGTCAGTCTGTAGGTTGGATGGCCAATTTGTCCGTTGGTGCCTTTATCGGTTGGTCAGTTTCAGTTGGCCATGACATTGCTCGGCTTGATTTGTTGGTTGGTCGGTCAGTCCGACTAGGTCGGATGGCCACTTGCTCCATCTATGGGGCTGTCAGTCAGGTGGTCAGTGGATGGGTCTGTTAGCCTATCAGTCAGTCACTCAGTCAGTTCATCCAATGGATGCGGTACGTCCCTTATCCATCCATATATGAAAGGATTTCACAGACACCCGAAGTTCCGGTTCCAGGGTCCCAAATTGTCCCAGTCCCACCTGTCCCGTAGGAGAGTCCCAGGTAGGGTCGTACGGTCCTTAGGTCCGTAGGAGGCCGAAACGTTGTAAGTCGATGTTGGCCCGGTGCCGTACAAGCAAGACCGGTAAAAGTCCAACCGGTACCCGACAAGAAAGGTCCAGGCCCAATTTTGCAGCAGCGTCGCAGGAAAAGTCCAGGTCCGGAAGGTACCGGGCCACCAAAATTCATGCAGCAGACAGGCCGCGGGCGACCGGTACCGGTCAGAAGCAAACCAAGGCCAAGTCAAGCAACTATTAATAGCTGTTACAGTGCAGCTCACATGATCTATAGTCCTGCATGAGTTGCGGAAGCGCTGTTGGTGGCTTGTGCGACATCACAGCTTGGGCTGTGCGTCAGAAGGCCTGCTTGGCGGCACACCAGTTAGGGTTGAGGAAGGAGACAGCAGCCATAGCTGCCATAGCTGAAGCTGCAGTAGAAGTAGAGCCGATGTATCCAGGGTTACTATCCAAGTAGTAGCAGGGAGAGAGAGAGAGAGAGAGAGAGAGAGAGAGAGAGAGAGAGAGAGAGAGAGAGAGAGAGAGAGAGAGAGAGAGAGAGAGAGAGAGAG